CCTGTAGAGCAGAGCAGGAGAGGGTTAGGCGGGCGGTTTGGGGGAGGCTTACCTGAGATGGGTGGTTGGCTGGTTGTTGGAGTTTGGAACCCTTGACATGCCCTTGGTGGCTTGAACTATTTATTTATTACCATGCTAAATGATGCCACATTTGGTGGGGAGAATTTGGTGCTCTGAACCCCCCCTCTTCCCTCCCCAAACAGGTTTTTTTTACCCCTGCCCGAGTTGTTTTTATACCTGCCCGCCAGAGCGTATTTCCTAGCGTATCCAATCCCATAATGAAGCGTACAGCGTATATACGCTAGCGTATAATACGCTTGCGTATATACGCTAGCGTATAATACGCTTGCGTATAATACGCTGGACGCGTATTTCTCCACTTAGCGTGGGACCAAGCTCTTGTAGGTTATCACCGGTGCCGTGGGACCAAGCTCTTGTAGGTTATCACCGGTGCCGTGGGACCAAGCTCTTGTAGGTTATCACCGGTGCCGTGGGACCAAGCTCTTGTAGGTTATCACCGGTATCTGCGTGCATCTCTCAGCTGCGCTGTATGCAGATTCTCTAGCGCTGCCGACATCAACTTTTTTTTAAAGTACTCCCCTCTTCGCACAGCCGCCGCCGCCCATGCCTCCGCCGACTCTTCCTTCATTGACTCAGTGAGGAGCGTGGGCACATCCACGGGCAGCACTGGCTCTCTTCCGTACAGCAAGTGGTACAGGGACATGTCCGTCAGAGCTGATTGCTTTGCGAACCGATAGCCCGCCAGCACCCATGGCAGCTCAGCATCCCACTCTCTCTTCTTCTGCTCTCCATACACCCGCAATCCTCTTTAGATCGTCTGTATCATCCGCTCTGTCAACCCGTCGGACTGAGGATGGTACCGCGATGTCACTCTTTGAGTGATACCTACTTCTTTTAAGAGCTCTGCAAAGCTGCCTTGTAACTCCGTGACTTGATCTGTCAGCAACTCCCCGCATGCCCCAAATCTGGTGAGTACTTGGTCCAGAAATGCCTCTCGGATCAGCCCACTGTTCTTGCTGGCTATGGCCCTTGCCTCCACCCACTTTGTCGTATGCTCTATCATCGCGACAATGTACATCTTCCCTTGCCTGGACAACGGTAATTCCCCGGCCAGATCCAAGGACCACCTGAATCCTAAGCCGCGTATGTGCAGTGATTGCAGTCTTCCCTGCCCTTCTCCAGCACTGCCTTGTTTCGCTGGCATACCTCACACACCTGCACCCACTGCGCCACGTCTCTTCTCATTCCTGCCCACCAGTAGGTAGTGCATAGTAGCTGCCTTGTCCTGGCTCCCCCCTAATGCCCCAGCTTTTCGTGCACTTGCTGCACGATATTCTCTCTCACTTCTGGCTTAGGCACCACTTTCCATCCCTCCGTCGTGCGCAGCTGCATCTGACTCTGAAACCATCGATAGTGCCCTCCTCTACTCCTCGCCCTTGCAGTCACTGCTGCCGCATCCTCTGTCATTGCTGCTCCAATCCGTGTGGGGCGTCTTTCTTTGGCAGCTGCAGTACCGTTCCTGCTTTGATGGCCTCCAGCAAATCCCTTCTCGCCTGCTCCTCTTCCGGTTCCCACTTCTTGCCCCTCAGCAGCTGATTCAGCCTGTATGCTCTCTTGCTGAAGTTGGGGATGAAGCGCCTGTAATAGTTCAGGAACCCCAGGAGTGCTCTCAGTGCTCCCTTGTCTTTTGGTGCCCCGAGCTTAACTAGCACTGCCACCTTGGCCTCTTGAATCCCCATCCCGCATTGCACTTCAAATCCCAGGTAGGCGACTGTTCTTCTGGCTATCTTGCATTTTTCCAGGTGACAAGTAAGCCCTGCGTCTGCTATAGCGTCCAATGTCGCTTCCAGGTGCTCGGCATGTTCCTCTTCACTCTTGCTGAAGATCACCACGTCGTCAATGTAGCACGCTGCTGCTTGCACTGCCTTCAACGCTTGATCCATGACTCTTTGGAACACACGTTCCAACGTTCCTTAGCCCGAACGGCATCACGTTCCATTCGTACAGGCCGTCCACTCCATGAAAGGTGGTCTTGCCTTTATCTTCTATTGCCTCTCCTTGCTTTTCTTCTTGCGTCAGGTATGCTCGGCTTGCTTTGATAGGCCTACTGCTCTCTCCTGCTTGCTGCTGGCTCGACTCCCTTTTGTGCCGCTGCTGCATTATCTCGTTCAACAGCCACTGTGGTGCATGCTGATCCATTGCCCGCCCCAGGGTGGCCCTGCGCTCTTGCTCCTGTATCCCTCGTGCTGCTGTTGCCCCCGGTATGTAGCCCATTGCCAACTCCCGCTCGACCGACGTTGGTTCCTCCCGCTGCCTTCTCTCTCTGTCATAAACCATGCCTGGCCCTGGCTTGCCATCTTCCAGCACAAACCCACGTGCTCCCTCCTAGGCCACCAAGGTAGGCCAAGCCCTTCTCGGCTCGCCTAGCTTGTTGCATTGCAGCTGCTTTGGGTGGTCTCTCTTCTCTACAGGAGCCGACGTTCTTCCTGGCTCCAGTATGTCATCCACTAGGAGTTTTGGATCTCTCCTCAGGTCGGCTAGTCCTAGTCTCAGCTTCTCTGGCACTACTCCGTTTTGCCAATACCTTCTCACCTGATGTGCCCTTGCACCATTCAGTGCAGCATCCCAACTTATGCCTGCCCCTAGCTCCGCCACTACCTTCTCTTGCGTTGCTCTCACTGGTTCTCGCGGGTCCCATTCCATGTCTACATGCTCCACCACATAACAGCACCTTTTGATCCCCCTTCCTTGATCCACTTCAGCATTTGTAGAAGCTTGTCCAATAACGCTGTGCGCGCATCTCCCATTCTCCGCCCTTTTCCGGCTCTTGAGGTGCCTTGGCACTCCCAGCCCACCACCACCAGATCTATTGAACCCATCCCCATACAGTTGCCTCGTTCAGCTGACGTTAGACATGGGCAGCATGCCGAGCCTGGCTCGACTCGAACTCGAGCCAGGCAAAAGTCGAGCCGAGCCGACTCGGCTCGACCCAAGCCGGCAGCCCCAAAATGGTTGGCTCGACTCGAGGGTTCAGGGTCGAGCGCAGGGTCGGCTCGGCTCGTCGGGATTTTTTGGGCAAGCCGAAGTCGAGCCGGCTCGTTTTCGGCTCGACTGTCGAGTTGCGCAGCTAGGCCCCGGCTAGAAATCGAAAACCCATTTCTGGTTTTCGATTTCCAGTTACTCTAAGCGCTGCCTACGCCCACCACGCCAGCCGAGCATGCCTAAGCCCCATTAATCTCACTCCGTAAGTTCACTCAGACATTAACTAGAGTGTTTTAGGTTATCAGGGAAATTACGTTTTAAGGGTACACTAGCGATGGCGATTTCTGTTTAGGACCTAGATTTTCTAGGTCCGCCAAACACCTACTTTCTACTCTAGTCAAGAACGCTAACCATCACTACTCTGTCGAGTCGAGCCGAGCCGAGCCAAAGTCGAGCCGGTCCTTGGCTCGACCCTCGAACCCCGAGTCGAGCCAGCCATTTTCGGGCAGCCGGCTCGGGTCGAGCCGAGCCGGCTCGGCTCGACTTTTACTTGGCTCGTGGTCGAGTCGAGCCGAGTCGAGCCAGGCTCGGCATGCTGCCCATGTCTAATGCCAGGCCATGCGCCTGGCCTTCGGATCTATCTCCACCAACGACCAATCGTGCTTCCAGCGCTGCTGCTAATCCCGCTCCTATTCCTCCAAAGAGTTCCACTATCGTAATTGGCCGTTCGCCCAGCGTTGCTCCTGCTTGCTGTCTCCGTGTTTCCATACTTCCCTTTTCGGCTGCTCTCGTGCCCTTCGCCATTCTCTCCTCCTTTGTTGCTTGCTGTAGCTCTGTGGCTTGCAGGGCCTTTCTTGGATCCATCTTCACAAATCGCACTGGCAGCTCTCCCTGCGCCCCGCCCTCCTTCCAATATTCGGTTCTAAAGATCAGCTTCTCTCCCCATGCATCGATTTGTGCTCCGACCTTGTAGACCAACTCCACAGGTCGTAATCCTCCGACTCGGAGAACCCGCACTGCACTCGAATCTGGGTTTCCTCCTTCTGTCACGGCAGCAGCGCGACCTCAACCGGCTGCACTCGAATCTGGATTTCCAGCGAGTTATGGCGAACACTTTTTCGATCCACGAACCGAGCTGACTTTTTCGCTGCTTGTGCTCTCTTCTTTGCCCGTCTTCGCACCTGGGGTTACCCGGAACGATTCCTTCTACAGATCTTCAAACGAGTCAGTTTTTCTGACCGAACCTTCTCCGATGTGCCGCTGAACTACGGACCAAATCCGACCGTGTCCCCTTGGTCTTGAAGTGCCTCCTCAATCCTCTTGTGGAGCGCTCGGACCTCGGGCCAATTTTGAGTCGACTCAAAATACACCTGGACAAGCTGACACAGGGTTTATTCTCCAGCCAACATGCTTTAATCGCATGGAAGCTGCCAAAGAAGATCAAGGATTTTATAGTCGCCGCAAGAAAATGCTAGTTTAGTGTTTCGATTTTGTTACGCTTATCTAGTTTATTGCTAGGCTACAGTGGCCCCTCCTCGGGGATGGTGTGGACCCTCGAGATTTTCTCGGGTCGCACTTCCACTATTTAACAGCTCAAGGCTCTGATGTTCAGCAGATGCTGATGAAGGCTTGTATAAGCCGAAACTAGTTCATCACAGGTTTTCCATCGAAAACTTTCTGAGCATCCCTACAGCTCGAGCTTTTTTCAGAACCGTTGCCTCGCAAGGCTACTACCACCACGGTTAACCCAGAGAAATGTGGGTCCGTTGGTCTCACTAGTGAGATTTCATAGCAACGTGCTTCTGTTCATGTACAGCATTGTCGTCACACACCATTTGGGTATCACCAGGCGGGCACGTACAACAATGGCATCGCAGCTGCTGGTAACAAGCTCCCTTCAATTCCTAGCCTAGTCGAAGCCGTTGGTCAACAATGTTTCAGAGCCGTGATTTGCAGTGTGAGTTGCAGGTGGGAGCGGTGGGGTGCACTTGACTCACAGTTCCGAGAGGGACCTCAGCCGTGAGATGGACACTGGGATGGATCCTGACAGCTTGTTGTGGCTCAGGTCCCTGCCATGAGAGAGGGAGCAGGGGGCGTTTGGGGGGGGGGGGGGGGGCAGGGAGAAGGGCGAGTGAGAGGGCGAGAGTGAGAGTGAGAGGGATGCTCAAACACTGCCAGGCGAGTGAACGCGCATCATGTTAGGCATGAAAGGGTAACGAGGTGGCGCACCCCTAGGCACCAGAGGATCCGTAGCCGCTGCACCTGGTGGACCCCCTCCAAACGCTTGAGGGGGAGTAGAGAGGGAGAGAAGAGGTGACACCGCCTCTCCCCCGGAGCAGTGTGGCTGTGTGATGTGACGTGACTGTGGCCCGAGGAGAGAGCTCGCTGCTCTGTTCAGATTCCTTCCTTCCCAACTGGGCGAGGGAGGGGGAATCCATTGAGTGCAGAGAGGCAACTCACATGTAAGAGAGGTCCGATCCGCCAGAGAAGTCAGGGATGGAGCCCAAACGTGCATTTCAAGATTCGTGTGTATTGAAGAAACGATAAGGTGTGGAATGGGGCCATGGGTTGTTCAGACATTTGCACAATGTTTGCATATGTGCTGCACACGTCACGTCAAGTGGAAATGACAGCGATGTGATCTTTATCCAGATTCTATGTAAGGTTGAATTTTGGAACAGGACATTCCTGAAGTGGAAATGAATTTGAAACAGGACAATTCCGAAGTGGAGAGAGTCAGCTCTGTTCCTAGCAGCATGCCCCCTTCACCCTCTTCCCATCTCCCTCCAGCACCTCACAGTCCCGCGTTCACTTGGCTCACAGGGTGTCTAATGACGAGGGCAGGGCAGCAGGCACGGGACCAGTGAGCCGGTTGTGGGAAAGATCTCTGGAGACAAGCAAAACAAGGGGGAGGGGGGAGGGGGGAGAGGGAGGGGGGGGTGTGGGGTGGGGGAGGGGAGAGGGTGTCAGAGAAAGCTGTCTGGATAGGATGCGGGAACCAATGGTGGAGACGTTGGAGAACATGCTCAAGGAAGCCTGCTGAGGAGGAAAGGCCTTGGCTGTTAGATCATTTCAACATAATTGCATGACATAATGGACTGAAGCACGTGAAGTCAGCCGGTTGTGAGAGAGATCCCTGGAGAGGGGCAGGGCAGGCAGATGAAAGAGAGCAGGCGAGGAATGCGCAGAAGCGCACTCAGTAGTGAAGGTGTCCATTGTTGGTGGAACAGAAGCACGTGAAGTCAGCCACGTTCCAACAGTGCGCACTGCGCATCCCCTATTCCTCATCCCAAAAACCTTTCCCCTCCCCTCCCCCTTGGCTTACAAAGTTACCACCGATGAGGGCAGGACAGCAGGCATGGTACCAGTAAGCTGGTTGTGTGAAAGATCCCTGGTGACCGGTGCAACCAGGGGAGAGAGGCAGAGAAGGCAGGTGTGTGGGTTTGGGGAACCGGTGGAGTAGACATTCAAGAGCCATGATCCTGAGTCATGAGTGGCGATTCTTGGTGCTACAGGCACTGTCCAGTGTGGTTTCAATGTAAATGTTTGTATGGTGATGAAATCACCAGAAAATGCAGAGATTGAGGTCGAATTTCACTGGCATGCGTCCTCAGACATAATTTGAATTGAATGCCAACGGGCATGCCACCTGTGGTATTCCCACAACAGCAAACATTTGCTTGTTGCGTTTATATGGGCCAGCCATCCTGAGGTGTGACATGGCCCATGGGCCCGCATGGGCGCGAGGCTGAGAGAGCAAGGCAAGCACAGCCCAGCTTAGCTGGTGAAGCACCCTGCCTGGCACGAACTACTACTGGGGCAATTTGAGCCACGTATTGGTAGATATGAGGATGCCCCTCGTGCGGGTGAAGTCCCAGAAGAAGAATGTGCCCCTCGTGCGGATCCCGCACCATCACATTTGAAGGATATGTAGGAATTTGGAGAAGAAGCAGCAGATTTCAAGGCATGCGTACATACGTTTCTAGGCACATCAAAAATAGACGTACAGATCAATGAGGCTGGTGAGTGCAGAGATGGTGCTGGGAAGAGAACCAGTGAAACCATTGCCACTTGCAAACCTGACCGGCAGGAGAATCACAACATTCACAGTTCCAGAGGCACGAAAGAGTAACTATCGAAACAGTGTGTTCGCTAGTGGAACGGCCTTAGCACAGCCCAATATTGGCACTAGAATCCCGCTAGCTTAGGTGGAATCAAAACCCAGGTCCTTTTTTTTTACCTTTGGAATAAAATTTGACTTTCTTGCGTCGAGTCGCGCTGCCTGTCGACGGGCTGCACTCAGGCCCGCCGGCGGGATTTTCGGTCCATGGGCCCGAGGAGGTCCGAGGTTGACCTCGACGTTGTCAATTTGTGCGGGCTGCAGGCCGGCCCAGCCCAGCCCGACGCAACGGGACGGGCTGGGGTCTAGCGGGGCCCGAGGCCGGCCAAAACTGGGCTCAGACTGGGCCGGCCCGACCCCGGCCCACCCTCTGAACATGCCTACCTAGATCCACGTTTAGTCACAACATTCGCAGGTCCAGATTCCCTACTTGCTCTGTTTCATTCCATTCATCAACAACACCACGCACCCTGCCATTGCACACACTACTGTGGTGCACATGAGATGAGAGGTGCATATGGCTCACAGTTTCTCCAGCCTTGAGAGTGCTGTTATTCCCGAGGGAAACGGTGAGGGGGAGCGCTTGAATGTGGGGAGTGGACTCAAATCCCTGCAAGGACAGAAGTCATGATGAGGCGGAATTTGGAGAAACATGCTTGCAGAGTGCAGCTGACACAGAGTACCGACTTGCGTACAGGCAAGACACAAATGACTAGAGAGAAGACAAATGGTATCTAAGGCAGCGCATGTGATGAATAGGAATTGCACTTGCACAGCGCTCAGGCTTGAAAACATGTGCAAGGGAGCCAAAACAGCCTTGGAAACATGTGCACGGGAGCCAAAACAGCCTTGGAAACATGTGCACGGGAGCCAAACAGGCTTGAAAACATGTGCACAGGAGCCAAAACAGGCTTGAAAACATGTGCACAGGAGCCAAAACAGGCTTGAAAACATGTGCACGGGAGCCAAAACAGGCTTGAAAACATGTGCACGGGAGCCAAAACAGGCTTGAAAACATGTGCACGGGAGCCAAAACAGGCTTGAAAACATGTGCACGGGAGCAAAAACAGGCTTGAAAACATGTGCACGGGAGCCAAAACAGGCTTGAAAACATCTGCACGGGAGCCAAAACACGCTTGAAAACATGTGCATGGGAGCCAAAAACAGGTTTGAAAACATGTGCACGGGAGCCAAAACAGGCTTGAAAACATGTGCACGGGAGCCAAAACAGGCTTGAAAACATGTGCATGGGAGCCACAACAGGCTTGAAAACATGTGCATGGGAGCCAAAACAGGCTTGAAAACATGTGGTGCTGAGCCCCCCCACACTTTCCACCGCCGCCCCCTCCCGTCTCCCAATAATGTTTTCATACATAGTTTTTCTGACCAAGCACTTCCGTCGACATTGCTGCAGCATAGATTACGATCTACTAAGCTAGGTGCACTACCTGGGTTCAGAACGGATTGGGAGATAAATAAGCTAGTGCAGCTAGAGTTAGGGAAACTTACGACCTCCCTCCAGTGAGTAGAGGACGTAGCAGAGGGGAGACGAGGGATGGGCTTGCTAGATGGAGTGGGATGGGATGCGGTTGGGAGAAAACTGGGGTTGGGAGTTGACTTGTCTTGTCTCCCCACTGCCAAGTTCATGATATGGCAAACCTTCTGGTAAGAATCGCCAAATCGCGAAATGTTGCAGGATCTTGAAGAGAAATGACTCGGCGGGCTGCCCTAACCAGCGTTGGCATCATTCTTGGAGTGTTTCACGTTCAAATGCTAAACGCTTGACTGCCCGGGCTTTTCTTGCAATCTATCTGAATGAGAAGGAATGTGAGCACCTGCACACATGATGACACATGGTGCTATAGCTCTTCGAGCATGGATGGCCTGATGGAAACAACAAATTCACACCCCCTACTCATGCCGCCCATACAGGTATGTGAGTGCAGTGAGAGTGGAGAAGAAGGAAGGGAGTTCTCCAGTAGTCAGATTGAGACCTTCAAGGGATCTGGTGGGACGAGACGAGAGAGGGGAGAACGGGCGACAGGGAGGAGAGGGGTGAAGACAACAAATAGACACAAGGGCAAGGCATACGGGAGGCACAGGAGGGCCTCTCTGATGACTTACAGGTGTTGCAATCGAGAGAGCGTGGAGAGGTCGTCCACTGGCCCAACAGGGTTGAAATATTCAAGAGAGCTGCAGCAAGGGGAGATGGAAGGGGAAGGGTTGTGGGGGGGGGAGCGAAACTCGTTTGGTTTCTATTACCAGCTTTTGGTAAACGTGTATGGATTTGTCATGCCATGCCACAATAGCTCTGTGGTAAAGCGCTGCCCTGCCCCCCCCTTCCCATGCAGCAGTCAACATGCATATTGTCGGTGCGCTGTCATGCCATCAGCTGCCAGCACATTCGACCACAAGTGAGGGAGAGGAGGGAAGTAAGCAGAAGTGGTGTAGCGATGATAGAGAGAGCACAGGTTAGTGCAGGTAAGCGGGAGGTAATGCAGTGCAGCAGAAGTGGTGCAGCGATGGTGCAACTGGGAGGGAGGTAAGGCCAGTGCAGTGGCAAATAGGTACGTGTAGCAGCGTGCGGGACATACAGGTAGGAGAGCGCAGTGAGTCGACTGAAGGTGGATGGCAGGTTCCTGGATCGACACGCACATTCACACACAAACACGTAAAGGCAGCCGTAAGCTCACACAAACACCAAGAGGTGCAGGCACACACAGCATACGATAGGCGTGAGCAAAATTCCGAGTTGTCTCGGTCAAACCGGCCAAGGGAGCTCGACTAGCCGCGAGCCGCTCACCAGCTCACCCGTGCCGCTCACACACAGGCACATGCACGCCCACGCCCTAGGACAAGATCGTATTCTACAAACACCTTTCATTAAGCATGGCTAAGTTGCTGCCACGTAAAGACCAAGCACCAGAGTGGTGTTCACTCGCACAAACAAACACACACACACACACCCTAGGACAAGTATGGTCTAGGTTGGAGTAAGTCAGACTTGCCGGACTATATTGCACTAGGTCGGGCAACAGGTTGGGTCGGGTCGGGTCGGGACGGGTCGACCCGCGACCCAACATTTCCCTTAAATTCCCGACTTCGGGCATGATCGGTCTGTATTGAAGAAGCGGCGTACACAGAGTAAAAATCAAACTAGATCTCGATAGGACTGAATCGGACTAGATCGGTCCGCATCACGCAGAGTAGAGTGTGGACTGGATTGGACTAGATTGGGGAAGATCAGACTTTCTTAGACTAGACAGGGCTTGACGAGCTGTATTGTAGGTGTTCATATTCATGGAAACCAAACTCTCAACAAACCAGTGCTCTAAGGTGCAATTGGATCCGTCAATCTTGAGTAGAGGGGGGGAGATAGGCTCAGAATCCTGTAAGGGTTCGGCGAAATCGATTCCGGGGTCAACACTCTCGACATTATGTGCGAATATTCCTTCCCAGGCTTGAATCGTTCTGCCCGTCGACAGGCCGCAATGGCGGCCCGACATCGTTGCCCGTCAACAGGCCACCGGAGAAGACAAGCCATGGCCGGCGCGGCCCATCGATACGGTCTAGGCCGGGTACAATCCCGTCCGTGAACCGGCTGAGACTGGCCAGCACGACCTCGGACCGGCCCTCTGCACATGCCTACCCTGAACTGAACTGTGGTTGTCAATTGTAAACATGGGCTTCGGTTCAGGTGGGCCGCGGGGGGGGGGGGGGGGGGGGGGTATGTTGGGAACTTCGTGTGAGCGCGAAGGACTCCAGGCGAGGGCGTTTGAAAATGTATGGCAGTGCGTGTAGGAAGCTGGGTGACATGGTGGAAGCTAAAGGTAGTTATACGGATGAGGGTGACAGCGTACATACGAGTTGGACTCTGGGGCCAACTGACATCGGGTTGTGGGTGAGTGGTTGTATGGCAGAGGAAGAGACACAAGGGGAGTTTTCTAGAGTGTGCTGCGATATCTTATGTGGTTATTTCTATGACGACCGAGAGCTCTCATGAAGTAGAAGTGATGCTACTGGTGTGATGTGAAAAACGGTGATATTCGTGACATGTGAACGAATGCTTTTTCAATAGGGCGTGATGTTCTGGCGAGCATTCTCACACATTATTTCTTTATGTGATACTAGTTAGGAGCTGTTTACACACACGAGCCGGGGTAGGCACGCGAGCCGTGCCGGCTCCTCTCAAAGCCCCTCTCAAGAGCCGTGAGGAGACTGAAGGTGGATAGGGAATAGGTCATGGGGCACCACTCTTACATGGGTGTGACGTTGGTGGCAGCACCGGGCTCGGGGAAAAAGATATCAGAGTTGCTCAAGCCACTGCCATGTGCGGTGGTGGACAGGGTGGCATTAATATGGCCCGAACAAGGAATGCACACCCATGCACGCATAAGGCCAACAATGGAGACTGTGGGGGGAGGAAGGGATCGTACAGTTTCTGCAGGGAGGGCAGAACGCCGAGAAAATCCAAGCTGCCTTGCAGCGAAGAGCTCCAAGTCATGTCGCTGCAGGTGGGAGGGGTGAACGGCCACAATCGATACGAGGGAGTATCTTGACAGCACGTGGCAAGGTAACACAATGAGCTCAGGAGCGCAGTGGATGCAGCGGGGCATGCAGAGATCTTCTGACGGAGCAAAGCATCCAGTGGGGTGGGGCATCATGGGTGCATATGGGATGGGTGCACATGGGCTGTGTTCATCTGGGTGAACGGGGATGGCATGGCTCTTAGTTCATGAGAAACGACCAAATCAGGATTGCGTTGGCATGGCTGGCTCACAGCTCTAGCAGGGAGGTGAGGTTCCTGAATGCGTCTGTGGGGATGGAGCCCGCCAGGACGTATCCCTCTATGTTCCTGAGTGGTACGCAGGGCAGCAGGTGGTAGAATGAGGGGAGGGGCAAGAGGGGGGGAATGGCAATGTTAGTGCGTACGAGGTCACGTTTTGACAATTACAAATATTTGATTGATGAACGGGCAGCAACGATTTTGACAGGGGAATTTTTCACAAACTAGGGTGTCTACCATGGTTCTAACGTTTTTCCTAGTTAGAATGCAGGAGACTCGAGTTTTCTTTCTCTTGGCTCTTTCTCCCTTTGTTGGGTACGCGTACGTCATTTCAACCGAAAAAGAAGGTTCTTTGGGCTGCAAAGGTTTAGATGGCAACGCCAACACCCCTGGTCTCCCAATCCCCCCCCCCCTCCCCCCTTCCCCCCCAAAAAGCTGCAAGCAACAGCTTCCCCAGGGAAGGGCTCACGTCTCGGTGCAGGGCTCACAGTTTGGTGACCATGCCGTGGGGGCCGCACATGACGCCCATCCAGTCAGAGCACAGCACTGCCCTCTCGCCCAAATCCCACACCCTCCTTTCCCACGCCTCGTCCAGAGTCCGCAGTGCTCCCACTGGCGGGCATGCGCGGGAGGAATGGGACGAGGGGAGAAGGCGGAGAAGAGGTGTGCTGAATAGAGGGAAGGAGAGGGAAGGAGAGGGAAGGAGAGGGAAGGAGAGGGAAGGAGAGGGAAGGAGAGGGAAGGAAATGGGACGAGGGGGAGGAAGGAATCGTTTCCAGTATCGTGGTAACCGGTGACGCTTGTATCGAAAATTCGGTCACATTGCGAGGGTGCGAGCTTGATGCCGACGGGCGCTGCTAACGCGGCCGCTGATGCATGACGCATGCGACGAGCGACGGTCGGGCGACGGCCCGCGACAAACGAGGCAGCTCGCGACAGCGTTGGTGCTTCCAGCCTGTTACTACTACGGGCGTGGACGGTGGGAGAGAGAAGCAAGGCGAGCAGCAGCGCGCAGCGAAGGCAGAGGTCGAGGGGGGTAAGCGGCGGATTCAACGCCATGATGCTTCGAGTCCGAGAAAGCGCGCGATATGTGGACCAAGAAACGGAAAGCCGATGACAAGATGTCAAATCTTGGAAATAACAAATGCTGAGAGCTGAAAGATGAAGCAAGCGTCGGGAGAGTAAAGCACCAGCGGAGCAGCCGCGGAGTCGAATCTTGGAAAGGGCGACAGCACGGCTGTAGTTCCATGGGGGCCGAGCAGCTCGGTGCTGGGCAGCCAGATACGCCATGACTCGGAAGAACTAGCAAGACCTACATGAGGATTCGTGGATGATGGACGAGCACGCAACAGGGCCAATTTCCACATCCCTTCTCGAGTGTGGCACTAACATATTGTTACACCACAAATACAGAGTTATTCCTTACGTGGCTTATTGCATCGTATTCGCTCGAACTTTTGTAAGTCCATGCTAGGTCCACTTACGTCGCCACTCCGGGGCTGAATTCCATCACATCTGAGCACTTTGACTATTCATTTACCCATCTTAGGCTTTTGAGGCCCTCGCCTAGCCGAAATGCTTGTCTACTAGCACTTGGTATTAGAGCCTACTATTACGATAAGGAATCTATTGCATTCCTGAAAGTGACACTCGAGCCTTAACCCTTGTCGAGTCCAAGCTTATGACGCGAAGTACGAAGTGCAACGGTCGTTGACCGTTGACCGACAATCGAACCGACAGAAGTTCAAGGGTCCGTCACGACAGCAAGGACACAAAACTGACCTTATAATACCGCGCAAGCAGTTACCCGAGCCGTGTGCAGTTATCCGAGTCGGATCTGGAGCCTCATAGGGAATGTTAAAATGACTAGAACGCTAGGAAGCCATGGAATGGCACGAGGGTTTAGCTAGGAGAAAGTTGACGAGAGAAAAGAGATCGAGAATAGAAGAGAGGGATACACGGAAGGGTTGTTCTACCCTCTACAGTCAGTTTCAGTAACGCCTACCAAGCCTACAATTATATAACATATATAATTTGACACACCCCCTAGGCTTCGAAGTAAAAGTATCCATACACACTGGACACTAAGCCACACCCACCCCCTAATTCAGGCACCCCCATACTCAGCCGCAGCGACAACTACACCAGCTCGGTCGACCCTCGGTGCGTGAGGCGGCAACGTCGACCGCAGGGGCTGCGGCGGCGGTAGTGTCAACCAAGGTCTCAGATATCAGACGAAATCCGTCTGATGGTCTGAAAATCAGACCTGTTTTTTTGCTTTCATCTGATTTTTTGACCGGGTGAATTATTTCATCTGATTGTCCATCTCAGTCATAAGATTTCGTCTGAAAGTTCAGACTTGGTGTACTTTTTCGTCTGAAATGTCAGATAGCGCGTATAATTTCGTCTGACAGCAATCACCCCTTATCCCACTGTGCCAATGGGTCACCTGCCCGATGGCCCACACTCTGCCATCTTGGTCCTGGTCGGTGGGCAGGTGCATTAATTTCCACGCGCACCGCGATGGCCAGCGCATAGTCACGAAATGAAATCGGCAGCAACCTGACTCAGGTTGCTGCCAATCGCTCGTCCGACAGTGCGTCACTTGCACGGCTGCCAGCTTCCTTGCATCTTGAAGCTGGCAGCAATGTGCCAGCGCACAGTGGTGCGGCCAGGAAAGCCACCCACCGCGAGCCAGCAATGCAAAGCTGTTTCGTAGCCATGCAGCAACCTCGCTCGCCATGCTACAGCTCAGCGAGGCGCCTGGTCGTAAAGGCACCAAGGGAAAAGCCTCGTAGCCACTTGTCCTGCTCCACCTCGTTCTTCCAGCCCCCTCAGCATGGCTCCAATCTTGCTCGGCGCACACCCTGCCTAGACGCCCTCTAGCTCTGTGGCTAGACAGCGATGGCGTCAGAGAGAGCGCAGTCGATCCCCTCCCCAGTTAGGCAGTCAATAGTAGGCTTGGAGCCCCCTGGCTCAACCCCTCCGCTTGTTAGTGGTCTAGATCTCCTCACTGGCGCGCAGAACCGAGCCGTCAGCGGCGATGCTCCGGTTGCAGCCGTGGGTGAAGCACCTCCGTCGCCTCTCCCACCCTTAGACGACGAGCCGTGGGTTTTCTTTGACAAAGAAAACTCTACGTGTGATGCTCCAACGTCGCCTAACCCGTCGTCAACACCTGGCTGCTCAACCGTGCGAGCCGTCTCCCCTTCACGCGTGACGCGCGGTCCTGTCCTACCAGTTCGCGCTCCTGGCAACACGTATCGACAGCGCAAGCTTACGTTTGGCGCAATGGCGCAGTCGTTTGGCCGACCAGCGGTGGCTCAGTCTACACCCTCTGTCCAGGTGCAATCCCGGTCTTCCGAAGCGTCTCCCGCCGACTCCGACGACGACGATGGTCCCTTTCCCCTCACAGTCGCCGAGCTCCAGTTGAAAGCCAAGGAGCACTGGCAGCGGTATTTCCCATGGCTGCTGATTTCCGAGACCTCTGAGGGGCGTCCATGCATGAAGTGTAGCATCTGTATAGGGTACAACAACGACCCCAACTACCAGTATGGGCGCAACGGCGAGGGCGGCATCGACATACAGAAGCAGACGATGCGCAAGCACCACCACAGTCAAAAGCACAAGGCGGCGATAGCACGGAAGGAGGAGAAGGATGGCAAGAATGCGAAACAGAAGTCCATCGTCGACTTCGAGAACGGGAACGATGAGGCAAAGCGACTGAAGCGACTCATGGCGATTGTGATGTTCCTCTGCAAGTCTGACGCCCCCGTTGTGTTGTTTGTGTCACTTGTCCAGTTCATGGCAGAGCAGGGAACACCAGACCTACCCGTGAAGGACAACGGTACCTACCAGAGCGAGTAAGTGTTTTACGTGATACCAACCCGATATACTGTTGATTTGTTACGTGCTTTCTAGAAGGCTGAAACTGTACTATTATGCATGCGCAGGTACGGTTTCAATCAGGTGGCCGACAACATCGTCACTTACCTGCGAGCTAAGCAAATGACCCACATCAGTGCTTCACCATTCTTGGGCATCCAACTCGATGAGTCAACCGACCGCCGGCGGGGTAAACATATGATTGTTTACCTTACCTTCCTCCGCGACACGACGGTGGTGACAGAGTTCTTCGGGCATCTCACCGTCGAGAAGTGTGACGCCGCATCTCTGCAGGCCATTCTACTCACCCACCTCGAGTCTCGGGGCGTCGAGCTCAACAAGATTTGCGGCATCAGCACCGATGGAGCCAGTGTGATGACGGGTGCGCAGGCAGGCCTCGTGGCTAGGCTACGCACCCGTATTCCACACCTGGTTTCCTGCCACTGCATCGCGCATAGGTGATTCTAACATTCTATAACAATGCATGTTTTAAAAGATTATTTCGAAACTAATAAAGTTTTTCTGTCAATCTGCAGGGAGGCTCTTGCTGCCAAGGACACTGCAGATGATTTCCCGGACTTAGGCATCGTCGACAAGGTCGTGCGGTCACTGGCCGAGGTGCTCGGCCGGTCCATCGTCGTACACAACCGTTTCAAGGAGCTACAGGAAGTCGTCACTGAAACTAACCTCGAAATGCAAGGCATTCACCAGATACGTTGGCTTAGTCGCGGTGAGGCTATCCAACGGCTTGTTGATGTGTTTCCCGCGGCCATCCTCCTGCTGTACGAGTATGATAGGAAGATGTATCACGTAGTTGTCTCGTTGAAATTCCATTTATTGCTGTACTTTCTGGCGGATATGCTGCTGGAGCTGAACACGCTCAACCTCAAGTTCCAGCGTCGCCAGGTAAGCCACATGGTGTCATGTCGTCGGTTTTAGGAGAGTGATGATTAACGAGCAAAACCATCTCCCCTTTCTGTCTTTGTATGGCAGGTCGACGTCACCCAGGTTCTTCGGATGGTCGACAACACTGTCGTTACACTGCGCGCACGCTACGTAAATTACAACACACAGTTCGGCCCACCTGACGGGGACTTCGCCGACTTTCTGCATCTGTACGCGGGGGGCGAGGACGTGACGATCGAGGGGATTGATGCACACGGGGCGCCGACTGTGCACACATACACTCTACACACAAAGCCGCTGGATGGGCAGCGGAGCAACGGGGATCTGAAGTCGCTACAGCAGCTCGCCACGGACGTCGTCAACGGTGTCATCAACCACCTGCAGGGATGCCTCAAGGATCTATCGAAGCTCAACGGCACAAGACTTTTCAAGCAGACGATGTACCCGAAGTCCACTGCGAGGCGCCAGCGGAAGTTTCTCGAATGGCTCCAGTCTCTGCGCGGCCTCTACAAGCGTGATGCGTCAGCGCCCGACACTCTACCGGGTGAGTTCCAAGGGGTTGTAAGTGTCTCCATGGCTCGGGTGTTTTCTGGTTGAGATATTTAACGAAGGCTTCTGTGCCTCTATTTCACCCCCCTTCAGGTGTCCATTGGGGCAAGGCGAAGGCCGAGCTCGTCAGTTTCACCACCATTATGTCGACACACAACGACGAGCTGGGCTTCCACGATGCGCTGAAGAACGTGCTCTCCACGCCGGACTGGATGACTGCCTACCCCGATTTGGTTCTCATCTGGATTGCCTATGCCGTGCTGCCGCTCAGCACAATGGAGTGTGAGCGCGGGTTCAGCCGCCAGAACGTCATCAAAAGCTGGCAGCGTGGCAATCTCGGTGATGCGAAGCTAGGCCACTTGATGACGGTGTCGCTGCTCGACTACCCGATGGACTGGGGGAGTATGGTGGCTAGCTGGCGTGGAACGAAGAAGCGGCGACCTGCCAAGGAAGTTGTCATGGATCAGACCGCACGGCAGGTGAAGCGGCCCAAGACGTCGGCGGCATTGAAGGCGGCAAAGGCAGCAGCAAAGGCAGCAGCAGAAGCAGCCATGCAGGCAGAAGCGCTAGCAGCAGCAGAAGCAGCCAGAGTGTTTGAAGAGGATGGTGCGGCTGGCCCAATCTGGAGGAGGAAAAGCAAGGGCAAGAAGGTGCAAGTCTCAGAGAGCGACAGTGATGATGATGACATCGAGGAGGTCGGAAGTGATAGTTCAGACTCCGAGTAGGCAGATGATGGTATGGCACAGCATGGTTTAGTATAAGGCTAATTCCTAATGTAGGTTGTGGTAGTGGAGCATCAGTAGCACTAGAGCTTTTTCCAGCTATTCTTAGCATATACGGTAGATGCAATTTCAATGGATGCTAACGACGTGTAACAGTTGTTTGTGTAGCAATATAATGTAGCACATTCGGCATTGTTATATACTGAAACTCCCGCAACGTTTCGTCTGAATTGTCAGATCGTGCCAAA